ATCAAGAGAAGATGGACGCCACGTCTACGGTTAGCGTAGAGCATCTGAATCTGTCTTCTTTGTCAGTCTTTTCAAACAGAAGCGGCTTACTGTGTTCATAACGCGATCGATATTTTTTTAGTTAGTTGCTCATGAGTATCAGTGGATGCATAGTCGTTTGCCAATACCGTAGTAAGACGTTTAACAGTAATGGCGAAATAGTCATTTGAAACAGTGAGGCAGCTGTTTATATTGTGCATACCATAATTTGAGCATCGTACAAGGAGTGACAAATTACGCACTACAAACGACGAAGTTGATTACATAGGTCTAATTTTATATCGAAACAAAGCTCCTTTTCTGGAGCGAACATATCCCACGGTAACTCAATGCAAGCGCGCTCTGAGCTGGCATTCCCCGAAGCAGACGAAATAACACGACACTGCAAGTTGTTACACGGTGTTCCAATGTAGCACATCGGGTACAATGTTTTATTTCATTCTTTTCATCGTACTGTAGAAATCCGACAAACTGCAAATGAAAATTACACGAGTTACGTAAACCTTACCCATTAGGCTACATGCAATCAGTACGGTTTTCAATATACAATCATCATCGAATAATTAAATGCTAACCGCCTAACGAAGAAAACCAACCAAACGAGTCGCTCTTTGCCATTTGATTTCATGATCACAGTCATTATTGTGCAAAAAATTTGGGTCTTTGTCCGGAGCTCCGCTTTCAGCGGGTCTATTCATAAAATGAATTTTTCAAAACGTCCCCAAACAATCCACACCTAATAGCTGTCAACCTATACAGACATTTCCCGCCCAAAAGCTCCGGTTTGGATCTGTTTATTCGTGATCACGTTCATACCTGAGATATATTAAGGCCTAATTAGCAAACCCTATTAAAAGAAAACTCTTAAAATTGCTAACCTAATGCGTTTGTGTCACTGGAAATCGTGTTATATGTTTAATACTTTCTTCAGGCATTAGTCGAACGTTTGGTCGAACTGAACAATGGACTTTACTAGGTTTATTTGCATTCTAACACATATTCTTCCAATTTTGAGGGTTCAATTTTGAAGGTTTCTTAACCTCATTCATTGTATTCCTGGAAGTTGCATAATTTATATATGCAGTAAATTGTAGCAACCTCTAATATCGCCTCTCTTTCTCTGGATCATTGCCTGTGGAAAAAATGTCAAATGCCATTCTGGTCGTCTCATGCAGATCTATATTTCGTCAAATGGTAACCGCGGCAATATCTTTTAGTTAGCAATTGATTTGTTTGGCTGTATACAAAACATTCGTATATTCGAACACAAGAGGAGTCCGACGTTAAATATTTGCATTTCCTATCTCACATTCTGTTTGGCTTGGCAGCCAATCTGTGACATGTGGGATTTTGTTTTCAATCACTCACACCTCACATGCACACACGGAGCGGCATAATGCCAACCGATCCGTGTTTACCTTTGGTGCATGTTTTAATTTGTTTGTTTGACCTCAACCGGAACGAATTGACGATTGTCATTGCACCCCTATCGATTCCTCACATTCACGGTTGTGCTGTTTGTTGTTGTTCTTTACTTTTGGTCGCTCATACTTATTGCTTCGTTTTGTCTCTCCTCAGTTCAAACTATCCAATTCATCTTTTTCGAGCCACATGAATATGTAACTACCAGGTTCACTATGTTTGATACAATGAGGAATAAGTTTCTCGGTAGTTTTGATGCCCGTTTGGGTGAACCATTTCGAGGGGAGGGAGGGAAACGGATAGGTTGAGACGTTTCGGAATGTGATTCACACGAAGTAAACAGTTATTTCAGCGTCGTCTCATTGCTAATTCACAAAGTGGTAAGTCGAGACATCCACTTTTTGAGAAATGTGATCCGACACAGGGTTTCTTTGTGCACAATGTGACTCGTTCCGATCACAGTTCCGCTGTATCTATCTAGCATCGACTCTCTTGTTCTATGTGACTCAATGCGAGTAGAACTATTGATCAGACAGAACAGTATGGTTCCAGCCATCTCGGTTCCAACACACTTCGTGCTGTGGTGGACTTTGCTATCTTTCCAGGTATTGTTTGGGATACTTCAAAACCGTTATTTAAACCCAATTTCACCAAACTACCCGGTGTTTTTAGCGTAAGTCGTCTGCCAAAGTTTCGTAACTAGGTGGTAATCATAAAACATAAATTCGCACATATCTATCTTGATAAATCACAGCACAGAATTTCTCATTAAATTGGACGTGAGAATAACTCGCAGCCATGTGAGGATAACTAATTTAAAGGTTGCAAGGAATGTTGAAAATGGCGTGCGTATGGCTGATACCAGAAACCAGTGGATGCACAATGAGCTGGGATGAAAATTGACTGTCATACTATAGATATCTGATCAGTTTTTTTCCATAGAATGACCATTAAAACCATATCCAATATAGTCGCGATCTGAAAGAACCCGCGGCGGCTAGTGAGATTGCAATCTCACTGACAAGCAATCCCTCCCAGAGATGGCCAATAATATTTTCTAGTGAACAAGAAAAATAACTTTGAGACATCACTTGGGAGGAAGCTAAAACTGACTTTCGTTAAGTAAAATGTGCGAAGAGAAAATATGATTTACGGGACTGACAGACAGCCGTTTCTTAAGATAAAAAAAACCCGTCGCCCGTTGTAATGTCATCGAGTACGTTAAGATGTTGCGCTGCATAAATCAGCCACTTACTTTTTCGAGTCGCGTAGATCAGATTCCAGTTGAATAATGTGTCGTGTCATTTCCTCCTTGGACTCCATCTTTGACTCTGTGGTAGACGATGTCGTTTGAACATTCTTCAGCTCTGCAAGTTCCCGTTCGTAGCTTCGTTTCATCTCTTCGTGGAACTGAAGTGGCACAAACCCGGAAGCCGCTGTGCCCGTAGGACCGGAAGATGAACCACCTGCCATACTGGTCAAGCGTGGGTCTACAGGTCGATTGGTCTCAATAGTGCGCTCAATGAAAACCGGACGCTGACTCGGCACTTTGACGGTGGATACCACGGGTGTGCGGGGTAATTTGGGTGAGTAGTCTACATAGGTCTTAACCGGCACTCGTCCTTTTACCCGAGGCACTTCGGAGAACTCAGACACATTGGCACTGGTTGAATCCGGTGAATCATTGTACACTGTGCGATGTACCTTGTGAGAGAACTCTTTCATTTCTGTCACTGAGGATTTCACATGTTTTCTTGTTCCTCCTTCTGTGGTCTCATACTCCGTTTCCGTTGTGGTCTGAACGCGTTCGGTTTGATCATCCGGACTGTCCTTAGGTTGCGACTCTTCTGTTAGTCCGAAGTACAGTTTTCAAACACCGAAGGAAAAGAAAAGTACAGAACTTATCAGCCAATACAACATTCAATACTGTACAGTGAACAAAGATGAAGTGTTTTGAAAGTGATTGACGGAGGGGATCTTTAAGTTCAGTATAATTACTCCGAACACATGGCTAGAAATTCACTGTTCAGGTGGCTCTCATTTGGAACAAAATGCTTTTGCCATTGCATCATCGTTTCCCGAATCACCTCACAACTGGCTTCACGTATGCCGCCCGCTCGCAGTTTGATTTCAGATTGCATTATGCACACAGTTCTGGGAAGCGTTAGCTTCTACAAGGGACAAAAACGATTATTATGTCCCACGATCTGTTAAATTCTTCTCGACGGAAAAAAATTCCCTAAAGTTGTCAACCAGTTTGAAAGAGTCTATCCACACTGGGATGGGATAAACGTTACTTTCTGAATACAAAAGAATGAAACGCCAAGCAAAGAGCCTAAAGTATGATGTTAAAGGTCTGCTTTAATTAGATAGTGTGATATTTGTTACTGGGAAACTATTTGGATTTCTTTTGTCTTCCATTTCAATCAATAAAACTCGTCAGTTTGACCAAACTGTATATTGACATTTCGTTTCCGATTGAAACAATCAAATTATTGCCAGTCAATCTACCCCTTTATAAGGCTTCATTTTCGAGCGGAACTGCCAATGAGATTTAACTATAGTTGATGGTTCAATTTATCAGATCGGTGCACATGTTCTGCGGTTCTCTAATGTTTCTGCCAATGTTTCTATTCAAACATTTTTTCAGGACATTTCTCGTTGAACATTGAACTCACCGTCGATTCAGCTATATAATGAACAATGCAGAACAAAGTGCAACCATACCTGACGGCACAATCTTCGCAGCTAGAGATGCACCGATCTCTCAACTACTTGAACACGAATTGCATACTGTAGCGACTTCTAGTAAGCAATCGATAGACTTGATAAACTGGATACATCCAAAAGACTTACCCGTAATTCATATCACACGAGTTTGCGAAAACAGGAAAAGTAAATAAAATTCTGTTTATCTGCTGAAACCATATTTTTGCATCCTTCGGTGTGAGTCACACTTTACGTTTTACCATTCACATACTCGGTTATCCAGAATAGCTTGCTGAGTGCTGTGTGCCGAATGAATACAAATCCGCATGGGAAACACTGATCTTACGCATGATGCATACTCCGGTAGAATTTTGTGTCTCATCTTTTTAAGCTTGTCACAAGTCGACTTAGCATCGTTATTTGTGAGTCGAGCAATCTGTTGCAGTGGAGTTTTGTTTTTCTGACTTGCTTAAACACCACTTTTATTATTCATGCTATGTTAATTATAAAATTATAAAATTATAGAATATCTTAGTAGTCTCGGCTAACACGGACACACCTGCAGATATCAGATTGACACGGTTTAGCGTAGAAAATTACCTTATCTTTACGATGCATTGAATCTATTATTCTTCTCACTATCGTGATCATTTTTTGACCTAGTCCTAATATCCCATGCAATTTTTCGCACCTCTTTCCTCACAGGTTCCTGGTGGACTGACCACCCACAAAGCTTGTAGTTCTTGTCCTGAACCTTATACACACAACCGAAAGATGCTTTTCATCATCCAAGTTCCCGTTTAAGACACCACATACCCAGTTCACCATATACCATTTCACTTCCTGTATCCGGTCTGAATTTCTTCACAATACAATGTTAACGTAAACGATGGGATCACTGACTCGCCATAAACAACAATACAGTAAAATATTGCACCACTGCGAGAGTTGAGTGCTGAAAATGTTGGCTGTCTTCTGATTAGTTCCGAGCACGAGTTTTTACTCCTAACCGACCAAGGATAAAATAGATACCCGGTAAAACTTGTTGACCAACAGAAATAATATACTCAAACGTCTGAATGGAGAAGCGAAGAATACTGGTTTACCCATTCTATTCGTGTTCATTTGAGTTGCAATCGTACAACATATGCTGCAGTGACTGAATTGGCTTATCCTATGGTACAAAAACAACGGAGAAAGGAAGGGAACAACTTTTCAAGCAATCACATTTACGAAACAAAGAAGGAGAATGGGAAAGATTTTGACTCCCAGTTAGTGCCGTAAAACTAAAGGACCCGATTTAATTTGGTACAGTTAAATAAATTAACAGTGCTAAGAACCAAATTGTAATATACTGCTTCAATATTGGGTTGGTCAAGTCCCCAACCTCACCCTGACCAGGCAAGTAGTAGAGAAAGTAGACAATTGTTGCTATCTGAGCAGCGGTATCTCACCTGATGGATGCATAATCGATGAAGTGTCGGCGTGCATGCAAAAGGCTCGGTTGGCATTTGCCAAATTGAGACATCTATGGCGCCGTCGCGACATACGGCTCTCTGTGAAGGGTCGAGTATATGCTGCAGCAGTTCGGCCAGTTCTGCTTAACGGCGCAGAGACTTGGCCATTACGGTAACAGGATAAAAATAGATTGTCGGTATTCGAACACCGCTGTCTACGTCGCATTGCACGAGTCTGGTGGAGAAACCGGACGATCAATGCTGAGGTTGGGCGTAGAGGTTTAGTTAATCAAGGTGTTTCACTGCAGAAAATGTTCGACTTCCATAGGTTACGTTGGTTGAGACATTTGCTACGCATGTCTTCAGATAGGTTGCCACGGCGAGCAATGTTTGCCGAAGCAGGTAGAGGTTGGAAAACGATCAAGGACGGTCAAACTATAACCTGGCATGACAGTATGAAAGCCTTGACCAGGAGACTGGCTCATATAAGTCCCGTTAGACTGCCTGACTGGGGACCCCGAAATGATGGTCACCGATGGTAAGAGACACTGATCGATATGGCCGGGTGTCGCGAACGGTGGCGCTCATGCATCTACGCATTATTCTTGTAACTTCAGTTTATGAAAATGTGCTATCTTCCACTTGAATGTGCTGTCAACATTATTATCATCATTCTGTTGTTTTATCCAAATGGTTAGGTTACCAACTTGTGACCTGTGAGTCCCGGGTTCGAACCGCTCCTCCGCCGCCCGTCTTCCCAGGCAGCCTTTGTATGGTCTAGGTCACTCTTCCTGAATGTTGAATGTACATTGTATATTCAACAAATAAAAAGGAAGTAAAAAGACATTTATTTATCTTAAAACATTGCCCTAATATACTATACAATAAGATTTGTCGGACAATTTAGATGGAATTGACACTTTCAAAGAAACTCCGCAAAAACAACTGCAACTTCCGGCGTAAACGACGTACATTTAGTTCACCGATTTTTTGCATACCACGAGTTGTATATTGCATGAATCCATAATTAAATTCATCATACGAATTCAGTGAACAGAGGTGTTAAGCAATCAGTAAACATGACGTTATTCGGTGAGGTTAGCATGAAGTTCACATTCCGGTCTCAGAACAAACTCAATGAAAGATGTTGACGGCCTCTGAACACAACCAACTGGATAACGATCATCGCTCATAGTAAGAATGGTGGAATGTTTTGCCTCGTTGTATACGATAGTCGGGCTAGTCAACACAATTGTTCACCTTTATTTCAATACCTCATGCGGGAGTCCTATTTGATTTATTCCCAGAACACCTTTCGCAACGGTTGGTCGTCATTGTACCGGGTGCGATGTGAAACCGACTGTTTGTCAAAAGGACCGTTCTTCAGTCTGTTTGAGTCCATTCTTGGGTAGTGGTCGGGATGCAGAATATTCTAATAACTAAGAAGCGTTTTGAACACGTAATTGAAAGACCGTGAATTTACATATAGTATCAGCGTAAACCATTCGTTTTGTTTCACCGTCGATAGCGGTTTGACAAAACAAGCGTAAACATGGAGTAGCCAGCCCATAACTACGATATACTTTTGTTGATGAGAAACGAAGCAGGATTTAGATTAGTTCCAGTTCCAGTGGCACTATAGATAAGAAGTGGCCCGGCATAGGACAATGTGCTTCACTTCACTTCTCATTGATAATATCGTTTGATTTTTTCATTTTTCGATCTCTTATACCCTCCCTTTCAGTTCTCTTCCCCATAAACTAAAGGATAAACGTAATAATTTCAACTTTTAAATGTTTCAAATTTTTTGATATCGTGTTCTCTAAAGTTACTTTCCTAGATAACATAATCGAGGCATCGTCGCAGCCACATTAAAATCGCATAGTTTAGTGTTTCTTGCTTTTAAGTTCAAGTAATACGTATCTTATTACACGCAATACACTAGGGTGCCTAATAAGCAATTGGTATTATCAAAAACCCATTTTGGCGCATAGTCTTCATAAGTACTTGTATCAGAGCCAACTATATAGATGCGTTCAGACAACACATCGGACGCCTGGGTGTTTCTTCCTCACTCCTGTTGGGTGTCGCAATTGATAGCAAGTTTGTATTTTACAGAAAATGCCCAAGCATTACTAATTCGTAATAATATTTTGTAAGGTAATATACGGAAATTTTGAATCGTTCGCGTCCATCGGGAAACACCCAGCAAACACCAACGTTTTGGATGAACTCAATAGGGGTAGGTAACTAGCGGGGGGGGGGCGTGGCTACATAGCGGACAATTGCGTATTTATCTCACCGAGGTGACTGAGGGGGAGGCGAATTGGAGCATTCATTTTTCAATCTCGCACTACCCGGATACAAAAGCGATCTGTCGGTAGAGGCCGAAAGTTTCCCGGGGACTATTCGTAACCCATGACAGCTCGATTTATATTTAAATTTCATCTTTTTCCTTCGTTTCCAATGCTTATACCAAAAATTCAGGCCTGGGATAAGCGCCACACGCACACAAATAAGCCGTTTAATTTAACTGAACTGCACAGTCAATTTGTAGCCTATAATTTATTATCAGGAATCATTTGCAATACAATCACATTTGAGTATACGACTTTTGGTGATACACCACGTGATTTATTTGAAAATAACTACACGGACGTGATGAGCACGTGGTGGGTCAC